CGCCGACGTTGAGATAGGCGATGCGTTGCAGGAATTTGAGGCGGGTTGTGGCGAGGAGGGCGTTGTTGCGGGAGAAGAAGATCTCCACGGAGCCGGTGGCCCATCGCAGCACCTGGTGCAGCCGGTCCGTCAGGTTGATGGGCGCCGTCCCACGGAAGGCGTCCCGCTTCGTGATGCAGTACACTGACCGCCACCCCCGGTTGTGCATCCGGTACCCCGTCACCACGTCCTCCGTAACCGACCCGTAGATCCACCCCACCCTCTGCCCCCACTCCGTGTTGTCCTCGTACCTTTTGCCAAGCCCAACCAAATGTTCGATGAAATGTTTCCAAGAAGAGGGCAGCTTGTTTAAAAGAAGCGGTGAGGTTGTGGAAATGGACTCGGGATTTAGACAAACACGTACCAGCATGAGATAACGGACACGGCCTCCGCGACTGTGGGCGCGTCGAGGGGCGTGCGGGGCACGAGCAGTGCGCCCGGCGGGCGGCCGTTCTTGATCCCCGGGTGGTCGGCCAGGGGGCGGCCCTGGTACTCGGCCACCGCGATGGAGTTGCCGAACATAGTGGAGTTGCCGAACTTCACGGGCGCGCAGAGGTCCGGGTCCATGTCGAGCGAGGGACCGGAGGGGTCGTCCGCGTCCATGCTGGTCGCCACCCGCGGTGGCGGGGCCGGACGCTTGTTCTGGCCATAGAGACCCAAGTACTCGTTGGCGCGCGGAGGGGGAAATCCGTAGAGCGCGTAGCGGCGGAAAAGGCAGCCGGTGCCGACGTACATGGGTCCCTGGAGCCCGTCGAGGGCTCGCATGTTTCCGTCGAAGAAGACCGTGTTGTGGTTGGCGTAGCGGTCGGAGGGGTCGATGCCCTCGAACCGCTGCGGGAACTGCACGTAGCAGACGCGGTCGCCGCCGCGGTCCATCATGTAGCACATGCCCTCCCGGATGGCCATGCAGTTGTAGATGTAGTGGTCGCAGTCGAAGTTGAGGATGAAGGCCCCATTGGAGAGGATGGCGGAGGCACGCACCAGGGCGTTCATGGCGCCCGCCTTCTTGTTGTGGTCGTACCCGGGGCGCTTCTCCCGGGACACGTACACGAACATGGGGAGGCGGGTGTCGATGCCGGTGAAGTCCAGGTAGGGGTGGTCGCCGGGCGCGCCGTAGAGGGGGTCGTGGTGGGGGGTCTTGATCATCACCTGGACGATCCCGGCATGGTCGCCCTTGGAGTGGTCCGGCGACGGCACCTTCCAGGTGCCCGGCCAGTGGGTAGCGTCCGCCATCCAGGTGGCTGTGACGGCGGGCTTGGTTTCAGCGCCCGAGGATGCCGCGTTCGCGTCGCTACCGCCGCTCCTCTCGCGGGCGAGCTTGCGTTCGCGGGCGTTGAGGGCGTCGGAGCGGCGGCGGATTGTGTCGGGGAGGCCGTTGATGCGGACCTTGAACTCATCGTACTCGCGTTTGATCCAGCGCCGGTCCTTGACGAAGTCGGGGAGCTTCTTGTTCTTTGTAGGGTCGCGCTTGATGGCGAAGTAGCTGTCCGGGTTGCGTGGCTCGATGTTGTGCTTGCGGCAGAAGGGTACCCAGACGCGGGCGAAGGCGGCGGTCTCGGACATGGCCTCGAAGGTGAGCAGGGCGGCGCCATCGTCGGAGATGTAGAGGGAGAGCTTCTCCACGGGGTACTCGGTGGCAAGGATGGAAAGGATGGTGTTCCCAGTGACGAGGGGCGGCTCCTTCTCGGGGTCAGCGGTGGAGATGAAGACGTCGAGGCCCGGGAGGTCGGAGTGGCCGAGAGGGTTGGAGGGGGACGCCGTCTCGAACTTCTCGCGGAGGGCGACGAGGTCGGCCGCGCGGTTGATGGGGTTGAGCTTGGGCAGTTGGTCCAGGATCCAGGAGAAGGCAAACCAGATCTCGCAGACGATGGACAATCCCCACAGCCACGGGGCGTCCGCGTTGGGGTTGCGCACGCGCCATGACAGGAAGAGGGACAAGAACACCAGCCGGAGCACCACCAGGACCCTGCACGCGTGCATGCCGCCATATATATATATATATACATACACATATATAAATGCTATAAATATTGTTAGTATTTTTTTAGATATTTTAATCTTCATCACGATCGAAAGTTGCCAAAGTCAATGGCGTATGCGAAGATTATTATATTAAATATTTTAAAGTATATACATTATGTTATTAATTGTAATTCGTGCTGCCTTGTTACCTGTAGGGGCTGAGGATGCCGGGCGGAACCTTCATCTTCCTCGTAAGCGGCTTCCATGGCTTCTCCAAGAAATCCGATATGTTAATGGGTTCGCCATCCTCGTCGAACTCGACCTCGTCCTTCGACGAGAAGGCATTTCCGATCCCGTACGTCCCCTTCGTCTCGAACAGCCACCTGTTGTGATCGAAATCCCCCGTCTGGCTCCTCATCAACATCGACTTCATCACCGACATCCTCCGGTCCAGCTTCCCCGCCCCATGTCCTCCTCCTCTTCCTCCGTCGCCCTCCTCCCCTACGCCTCTGCGTCTTCGGCCCGAGCCCTTCGCGGCGCCACCGAAGGGCGACGGGAGGTCGTCGGGCTTGGACCCAGGGGCGGCGGCTTTGGGTTGGTTGTCCGGGGTTGGGGGCATCATCACGGTGTAGTTGATGTAGTCATTGTGTCCCCCGGAGGATGTGGAGGTGAAGTCGCCGGAGACGCCCAGGTCCATGTCGTCGTCGCGGGAGAGGCTGACGATGCGCCCGCTCGACGTGCGCCGCGCGTACTTGATTGGCGTCGACGACATGGTGCCCCTTCCTCCTCTCTCCCTATCGAGGAAGCATCGCTTCCCTCCGCTTCCCCCCTCTCTCTGAGGGGAGCAATCTTTTCGTTTGGGTGGTGCGACGGAAACGCGAGCAATTCCTCCATTGCTTCACGGCCAAGATGAAATAGCGGGATGACAACCGATCGTCTATGAGAAGGACAGTAAATGCCTTAAAAATACGTAAACTGTTGATGATGATGATCATCATCATCCTAAGGTTGGAATGTCACCGTAGTAGTAGTTGTTGTTATGATGTGTTTTTCTTGTGATATGATCCAAATCATCGAAGTAGTTGCATAAGGGGCATAGAAAGCATCATGATAGGAAGAATAAACCCACGCTTACATCAGTCGTACAGGTAGACAACCAGCAAGGATGCTACGACCAAACACCCTAACATAAAAGTGCCCTAATTTAGACCCTCAGAAGCCTTCGTCCTCCCTAGGAAGAGGAACATGGGTGCTGACCATGAACAGGTGCTCGTAGACGAGTCCAGCTAGTCCACCGCCGGCGAGCGGTCCGACCCAGTAGATCCAATGGTCGGTCCAGTTCCAGGCTGCCAACGCCGGGCCGAACGACCTCGCCGGATTCATTGACGCGCCCGAGAACGGGCCGCCGGCGAGGATGTTAGCCCCCACCACAAGCCCCACCAGTAGCGGCCCAAGCCCCGCGATGATGCCCTTCTTCGGATCCACCATGGTGGCATAGACGGAGAAGAGCAGGGAGAAGGTGAGCACTATCTCCATGATCACTCCTTGTACGGCACCCATCCCAGCAGCCAGAGTGTGCACCGGAGTATCCTGTGCTCATCAACATGTGTTACATGTAGATCAAGAAAACAAGTTTAAAGTCCAAGAAATTAACTTTTGTGCTAATTAGCGTTCATGCCAAATGAATCTTATTCCCCCCTTCTTTAAGATATATAATGTGCCTCAGGTAGCATAGGGCTAAATGTCTAAACCTAATCATGATCCTTGACAGAGCTTATGGCAGATCCATGATGGTTGTTCTCAAAGGTCAAAATGGTGCAGAAAGATAGGGTAGAGAGAGAGAGAGGAGGTACAATAATGTCATTCATATAAGTGGAAACCAATAAAGTTTCCATGAATTGGGCAAAGTTTTGGATGCACATGAGAACAGTATTTTAGTCACATCTACTTTTACTTTGAGAACACAAGAGAACCCGTGACAAATTTCTTTTGGTGTTGTAGTATGATCGCCAATAATGAACAGGCTTTGACCAGTTATGTAGAAGCGTACCAGTCCACCAGTGAGGTATTTGAGGAGAAGGCAGGCCAGGGTGGAACCCAGCAGCTGGGCCACCACGTACAGCAGCGACCGGACGACGGTGACGTGCCCCCCCACGGCCAGCCCCAGCGTCACCGCCGGGTTCAGGTGGCCGCCGGAGATGTGGAGTCCCGCCGATATCATCACCGCCACCACCAGCGCGTGAGCCACCGCCACCGCCGTCAGCCCCATGATGGAGTCCCCGCCCACCATCTTCTCTGTCACATCCATGCATACGCTTCCGTGAGGACCAACACGATCTTAAATAAAAGAAGAAGGAGCTCTCGTTTCCGTACCCGCGGCCATGGCGGCGCCGACCCCAGCGAAGACGAAGAGAAAGGTGAGGACCACCTCAGCTAGCACGGCGCGGATGCAGCCGGGCTCGGCCGCCTCGTGGTGGTTCCCGAGCGCGATCTTGGCCATGTTTGGGACCCGAGACTAGTAGCCTTTCGGTGAGTTCCTACCTTCTCGTTTCCTTTGCCTCTCAGTGCTGCTGCATTATATAGGCACAGGGGGAGAGAGAGAGAGAGAGAGAGAGAGAGAGAGTACGTATTAATGATCATTAATTGCAGTTGCAGTAAGTAAGAATAGAGCCAGCAGTGTCTGTCCAGTTCGTGAATGCTGGTTTCGGTTTCATTTTCTTTTGGGTTTTAAGTCAAATTATTTCTTAATTAATTATAAGAGGATCCTTTAAAAACTAATATCAAACACTTAAATTTTAGAGTTTAATATAGATTAAGTCATTATTAACAACTAAATTATGAGTTCGGAAAATGTCTCCATTCGTTTGTTCAGCAATAGGAAAGGCAGCTACAAGACAATAGTGCTTTCCCTAATACAGAACCAGTATGGGTGTGCATTGTCAGCCTCCTCATCAGTCTCAGCCAATCCCTGGAGACGACGACTTCCGGTGGATGTCATTTTCTGATAGCATGATTGAGTGTGCACACTCTGTAGGTGGTGGACTTCGCCTTTTGGCCTTCTTCGACGCTCAATCATGTTCTCCGACACTCAGCGGTGGAGCTTTCTGGTCACGGAGATGGCGGTCTGCGCTTCACGACAGCGAAGCCATCATGTGCGAGAGCAATCAGTCGCCTTTAATAATTCCTCGATAGATGACGAAGACAGCTCAATGGAGATGTGGCATCCACGGCTCCCTCATCTGGTTGACTTCTCGTGGATCCGCACGCAACGAGGTTTGAAGTACCGCGTGCTCATGCAAGCTTCGTTTTCTTGGTTTCTCTCCTCCACCGGATTCATATTATTCTATTCTTTGGGCTTTTAATTCAAGAAAACATTTAATTTTTATTTTTAACGTAGACGAAGATTTAATATTCTCTTTAAATGAGAGAAAGCTTATGAGCAAAAAAAGGAAATTGACATCATATATACATATAGGGTCAGTTGTCTTAGATCTCTACCGCTCGCTCACGTTGACGACTGTGCAAAGGAGCGGATGGACGGTCCGGATGAAGATAATGGTGTAGGAACAGCTGAGACCGTGATTCGAGACGCAATCGGAGTCGGGTAGTATTTGGAGAGAATCCCCAAGCACGTGATGGCCACGTGCATAACTGGAACGGGGAGCGCAGAGAGAGAAAGAGAGAGAGAGAGATGGCGGATGGCGAGGTCTGTTCTCATGGCCGCTGCCGCCGCCTCCATCCAAATCGCTGTCCTCTGCCTGACTCTCTTGTCGTCCCGGTTCTCCCCCAACCCTCCGTTGGGCCTCGGCTCCGCCCCTCATTGTACGTTTCCTCTCGCCCCCTGGGTTGCTCCCCCGGGTAAGCTATGTGTCTTATGTCTTCGTCAACCCTAGCTCTTCAATTCCACCTTTTTCTTGATCTATTGGAGACATCCGACGTCCTTCCTTTTGGATAGTATATGTCGATTTTCGCATCAAGATTCCTTCGCTAGCGGTGGCTGGCGATAACTCGATCATTCTTTCAATTCCTTCGCTAAATGGTGTGTTTTATTCAACTGATTAGCTTTGGATCACGAAAATAGTCTCTCTACTCACAAGATCCGCAGATGGCAATTTCTTTGAAATAACACATATTTTAATCAAATTAGGCATTTCCAGTTGATTTCAGCATTTGATTGATTGGTATTGTGCTTGGTGTCTTTAGGTGCTTTTCGTTGATATATTATTGACTGCGACCATTTCTTTCGCTCCAAGATTGTATCTTTCTTGCACTATACTTACTTTGTTCCTTTATTTAAATGATTGTTTCTTTGAAGCAAGTGATGTTCGATTAAATTATGCATTCTCATTTTCTCCTCCCGTCTTCTAATTTAATTTTTATGGAACCTTAATTAAATAGGATTTGTAGGACTATTGAAGTCATTGACTGAAATTTATAGGAACAAAACTTATAGGTCATGCATGACAGTAGAACTAATTGTTTATTATTCTTCCAGCTTCAATTTGATGAGTTACTGATATGTTTTTTTATACTTCTTCTTGTCTAAGTCCATAAAATGATGTGAACAACTCAGTTCTTGTTTCATACAATAATGTATTGGCTATACATCTGGAGCAGTTGTATGGAACAAGAAATTCTAGATTGATAAGAAGAGCGATTTTTATCAAGGCCAGTTGTTCCAGCAACATGGCACAGGCAAGGACATTATCAAGAAAGAAGAGGCTCTAGACTGGGTGAAATAAGAACAAAACAATTGAAGAATGCTTCATGATGTTTATCGTAAAATGTCCTCTTTATTTATGTTTCACCTTTGTTTGATGATTTGTTTTGGACACAACACACTATCACCTCTGAGTTTGTATATGTAATTGGTGTCAATTCTACAAACTTGATTAGACGAATGGTTTCCTTCGATAATGTGTTACGTGGATTTTACGTCTTCATGATGTCAGTGATGCATTTATTTTAGATATCTTAGCTGAGCTTTGCTGGTTCTTTCTAAAGACTGATCTAATTGGTGTTGCCTTTACAAGATAATTGCTATATTTTTGGATTTTTTGTTTCTTATATTTGAGTATGTGAAGACTTCTCAATTTGAGGAACAAAAAGAGGCAATTTAAAACAGTTTTTTTTGTTCTTGAACAGTTGATTTTGCAACTTCTAGTTACTGGCCTGAAAATTGCCTTCTAAGCTACTTTGATTGGGACATGAATACGTGAAATTTAAGCTTTATAGTTATTAGGCAGACCAAGTCATGTAATCAGCTTTATCAAGCTTTTCATCACATTGAATTCATTTCTTGTTAGAGCATAACATTCTGTAGATGTTCAACACAAACTCTGCTGAAGGCTAGAGAACTAGCACATCATGATGTCCAGGTTGAATGAAGTCTTAATAGGAATTTTCATGGTTTAGCAGAATTTTCACTCTATGAATCAGTAACATCATGCAACACTTCCTCATTTACCGTGTGCCTGAGAACAGAGGATCATTTTATTTTGCAGGTATTTGTGGACTATATAGATTTTGCTAAAGAGTTGGAGTCATCAACCATCTCAGATGAACCTTTTGCCCAACTGGTTTTGTAAAACACCTAAATCACATCTCAGTTTGTACATAGGTTGTTTTGCAAACCATTTTAGTGGAAGCAAGCAACACAAATTTGAAATTGCATTTATTGGTATTTAAGGTAAATATTAAACCGATCTTGTCATTCACAGTTAACCATTTTTATTATACAAGTGCTTGATTATTATTATTTTTACATCGCCTTCGCTATGTTCATATTGGCACGGCAATCTAGCATTTGTCTGATGCCTTCAATCCAGATTCCCTCATCACATTTTTTGCATTCAAATTCGATTAACCTTTCTGGTGTTCTGATCCCAAAGTAAGCCCTCTGATCACTTCCATCTTCCACTTCTCTTCCAGGCCATGCTGGTATGTTGGCGCAGACATCAATTACAAAACCTGCAAGAACAGGAACACAGCTTTATCTACGTGCCATCGGAATCGCAGTGTGTAAGTTTTCCTACTAATCTTACATTTCTTCTTTTTCACAAAGGTCCCAGCCATGTGTGTACTTTTTGTTTTGACAACCACCTGCAATTTGTTGCACTTTCTTAGCTAACAAAAATATAGATCATGAAAAATCTTTTAGATTTTAGACAACTTACCTGCCAATTGGAGTTTATGTATACTGAAACTTGCTTCCAATGAAGAATACCTGCCACAGATGGATATCTCAACACGCATTTATTTATATTACTAACTTTTGACATAATAATGTGGTGATTGCAGATTCTGCTCTAAATAAGTGATCTTGACAAGTTCAGATCCTTCATAACTATTGTGATTAGTGCAGTGAGGTCAATAGTTTTGGCTGATGAATTCTGTAGTTGAATTCAAAGTTCTACGAAAGAACTGTAATTTATACCTTTTCTTGTGCGTTTGACGAGCTCTCCACCTTTGGCTACAAAGGTGAAGGCTGATGAGCATCCATCTGATGATTCTTTGTCGTCCCCAGCTGCTGTTGCACCTTGAATCTCCTTGTAAAGCCTTGCCCTCAATGTCGCTGCGCCTCGTAAGGCTGCAGTACAACATGCCACATCTTAGAGCTGGACTACAAGCTGTCATAAGAGCAATGCATGGCTGCTCACATGAACCTACTTCTCTTGCATTTAGATGTTATATGATTCTGATAGCTAGTGTTTTGCCGACTGTGTTCATTTTTCGGATGGCTTGATCTGTTTGTGGATGAACTTTTTTGTTTGGAGACCTGAATGCTTTCTTTTGTATTGATCTGAGATGTTCTTAATGTGTGCAGACTGAGTCAGATTGAAGCCTCCATGAAGAACCAATACCTGTTGCAGCTCCTGCAGTGAGCGCCATGATGTCGCCACTGGTCTGTGCACCAACTGCAGAGTGGACGACCTTCAAGATCTGATCATGGGCGGCGCCCATCGTCTGCGCGATCTCCACGCAGTGCGACGCCACGAGCGCCGCCGCGGAGGCAATGGCCGCAGTGATCTTGTTGCCACAGTTGGTTCTTGACGCATCCGGCGAGAAGACGGCGCTGGCGACGACAGCAGCAACCGCAGCGGCGACCCCGGCGACGGAGGTCGCGGCGTATGCTTGGGCTTTCCGTGTCCGGGCTTCTGTCCTCCTCTTCTCCTTCTGATCCTTCAACCATCCTCCCATCGTCTTCCCCCTCGCCGCACCTCTAAGAAGCTGCGTGTACGCGGAACAGAAGCTGGATTACGCCTGCGGAAGATGCCTGATCACAGGTGAGTAGCTCACGGACCTTGAGATCGATGTTGTCTCTCGGAGAGATCGGAGGGCTGACGCCGACTCCTTCGTCGGCAACTGGTAGTTTAAGCTCTACTGCTGGATTCTGCACGGTGAAGATACATCAAGTCGATCTCTAATGCTGGTTCGACCAAGCTCGCCTTACCTCTTCTCTCGCAGCAGACAACGGCGGGTTGCTGTTCTGCCTCTCGACGCCGGTGGAATCTGAAGGCTTCCTGTTCTCGAACAGGGTGAGGGCCTTCGAGATCTCCACGGCGGACAGACTCCATGACCGAGCGAGAAACTCCATGGCCTCCGTGGGCGTCTCCGGAGGCCGCAGGGAAACCGGAAGGCAGCTCGCGGGACGCTCTTCCTCGATGTTCTCCAGCCGCATCGACGCACCCTTCGCGTGGTGGTGGTGGTGGTGATGATGATGCCGATGAGAGTACGAGCACCACTCCATGCCAGCTCACAAGCTCAAGAATGACGCACACGTATATATACAGATAACCAGAGATCAAAGTGGTGTGGGAGACCTCTCGAGCTCCGCTCGTGCACCGGAAGTGGGTGGTGAATCGAGCCCCATTCCCGATAAAGAGACGCCCAAGAGCGGCGCTCCTCATGATGGCTATGCTTTGGGTGGGCTTCCACGGTTGCATCAAAAGGAGCCACCACCCGCAGCCACACCGACGGTCATTTCATCAAACACCAAAACCAGAACCAATCTTGCTCCAAATGATTCCATCCAAGCTTGGCGCATCTGATGCTATACTTGGATCCAAATGTCGAGTGGAATGGGGCGGAGGCACAATTAAGTATGGTTCACTACAGGTACGCCCATCATTGCAGATTCCTTCTTAACCCCGAGAGTGTTTCTGTTCTTGTGAGTTGAATGAAAGAGAAAAGACTGATGATGACCGGGTTTCTCGCAGCTCAGTGGGAAGCCCACTGAGCGTCGTCGGTCCCAACTCATTATGGCGTGCATTTTGATGCCTAACCGAGTAGCCATTGCAACTCTTTCGAGTCCTTCATGGCTCCTAAAACCTACCTACTGCAAGCATGCAATTCTGCTCCGGATGAAGAAGGAAAAGGTACTCTTTTTTCCCCCTTGATTTGATCTACTTTCCTCATTCTTCTTCTTCTTCTTCTTCTTCTTCTTCTTGTCAATCTGAATTGTGGTTGAGAGAATCCCACCTAAGTAAAGTTTCTGCTTTCCATGATCACTTCAGCAATCAGAAAAGCCAGCTTTATCGAACAACATAAAGATTTAAGGGGAGAGACGAGAGTTGTCTGTGCTAAGACTTGTGGCTAAGACAGCCAATTCTTCTGTATAAGATTAACCATTGTATGATCTCCATATGACACAACTCCTTGGAAGTAGCATTGCAAGCAATGATTGATGTTGAGGTTTTAGTTGGATTTTGGAACCAACTAATTAGCTACGTGATTTCCTTCTCGAGAGATACATGAGATATCTCACAATCATTCAAAATATTAAAATGGATGTTCCAACCTCACTGTTTACTAGTTTAATTAGTAGTATGCCACATTATGACCAAGCAAGCTCTCTACCAATTTTATTTCCAAACTTAATTTAATTCTTATTAATAGAAGATTATGATATTGGTAAATATAAAATGATAATTTTATATTTTTTATATGTTTTAATTTTTAATTAATTTATGATTGGAGGATCAATCATAAATTTATGCATATGATTTAAGTAAGAAAAATCTTTTTCTCACAACCTATATAAATAGACATTATCTTAATGAATGAAATCATGGAATTAGTGCCTTCTTATTTCAATCAAACCTCACTCTCTCTTTCTCTACCCTGCTAATCTATTGACGACTGCTATTCCTATTTCTCGCCTATTCTGGAGTTGCTTTACAACTCTTTTTGTTTTCAGATTCTAGCATTGCAAAGATGAAGACGCTCACACCAATCTCTTAGCACAATTTGCTTTGCAATAGATTATCTTCACTTTGTTGATCGATCAGTTTCTCCAACAATCTTTCATCATTGTACAATTCTACTTGCTAGGCGTTCGCTCTGCTTCTACCTACTACTCACTATCTTAATCGACATCCTCCCCTTTTTGTTAATCACCAAACTCACTAGTACCTCGGATTCACGATCAACCTCTTGGCAATAGTTCATCGCCTACCACCATCTTCTCGACTACGGAGAAAGGAAGAGATTGCTCGCTTTTGCATATTTCATATCAGATCCTTCGTTGTACACTTCTTAGATATGATATACTCCGTCAGATTAGACCCTCCCCTGTACACTTATTAAATATAATCTCTTTCAAAAGGTCTCTACTATATATGCATCCAAACCAAATCATTGGTTGGTTTTGATTTTTCTAATTGAATCACAATATTTTCTTAGCATGTCTTTCTCCACTACATCTGGCATTTTAATTATTATTTCCTCATCAAAACAATAGTTTATCTCAACCTATAAGACTTATATGTATTAATTGAGTAACTCTAATCCCCTTCAAGCTCTCGAAAGGTGATAACTATGTATCTTGATGATCACAATTCACTAATCTCCTCTTTGGATATAATCTATTTGGCTATATCGATAACTCTCTTAGTTGTCCACCATAAAAGATTCAAATATCAAGAGAACCCATTCTAATGATAAATCATGCTCAGAAGTTATGACTATGACAAAATCATCTTATTTTAAAAACCATTCAACCTTCAATAGTTGGCTCTATAGCACCACTAATTTCTTCGAGCAGCAATAAAGTAAAAACATAGTCCAAGATACAAACCACTCTAATCAATCGCTCTCATACTCGAAAGAAAACAACACAAGAGGGAAATAATATTGCTGATTATATGTAAAATCTAAAAATTATTATAGATGATTTGACCTTAATATGTTATCATCTAAGTGATGACAAATTCATTGTTCATACTCTTGATTAATCATTTGAAGAAATTGACGACAATAATTCGAGTACGTGATTTACCAATATCATTTGAAGAACTATATGACAAGTTGATTAATCATAAAATGTATCTAAAACGAGAAGAGAAGAAAACGAGACCAACTATCACAACTTAATTCAATCAAAAAATAAAAAAAAATAAGAACTTCAATAAAGAACCAAATAAGATGCATCCTAGACATATGGGTAATGCACAGAGTTATCATCTTTCATTCCATTATCAACTCTCTAATCATCACGACAACTTCAACCCAAACAACTCAGGAAATAATTTTAACTATAACTATAAATAGTTTTGGCATCCCAAGAATAATAATAAGCAAAAACTCATATGCTGACAAAATTAGACATACACCAAAAGTCTATCAATCTTGACCCAAGGCTACTCCTACACTCAACTGGCCCTAGCTTCAAGCAAACATCATGATTACTCTAATTACTTATCCAAGTAATTAAATTATTGACCATAGTATTTTTTATCATATCACTTCTAATTTACAAAATTTTCTATCCACGTTGACTATGGAGGCAATAAAGACATAATCATTGATAATAGTAATATGAAATGATAACTTTACATTCCTTATATGTTCTAATCTTATATGTTCTAATCCTTAGTCAGATTTGAGGATCAAATTCTGATTTAAATGTATGATTTGAGCTTATGATCGAAGAAAATTTTTTCTTCACAATAGATTGTATAAATAAATATTATTGTAATAAATAAAATCATCTCTTCGTAACAGATCTATCACAGATGTATTTTTATAGTTCATAATTTCTTCCCAGAAATGAACGTATCTGATTCAGATTTCTTAAGAGACTAAAGACTACTGCATTGCATGACAAGGTAAGGGATCCTATTTTTATTTTTATGTTTAATGAGTGTGCCATGGCCATGTAATTTAATTTTGGTCTTTCAACTCAACTTTTGTTTCTCTCATATGGCATGAAGATAAGAAAAATAGTTTTTCTTATATTTTCTGCCTTCATAAATCCCCAAATGAAGCACAAGATTTAGTTCTAGCCATCACCCCACGTCAAATAGTGTATTTAAGGATTTTTTTTTTCTCTTCAATAAATGAAATTAATATTGTGCATGAATTGACTAATTATTGTTAATATAATTAGAGAGGTCAGTGGAAGGACTACACATCTATACATAGGATATTAATATTTAGATGGATATATAAGGGTAAAATTTGAGTTTTTAATATATATATATATATATATATATATATATATATATATATATATGTGTGTGTGTC